TCCAGTTGGATGACCAAAAGAGAAACTATTTGCAAAATGCCTTTGATCACTTCAAATTCTGGACATAGCTCATGAGAAACAACCGCTTTGTGGCAAGCTAAGATATTTCAACATCCTTTGTTCTTTAGACCTGCCAACATCCCTCTAAGTCTGCCACTACAAGCAGTGCGCCCTTCCCAAGTGAGAACAGCCTGGAGTTGTTTAGTGCTCTCTCCTAGCAATAGGAAAGAGCAGGAAAACTCTACAATGCTGTCTGCTACACTTGAAGCACTTTGCTTACCATGGTGATTACACAGGTACTCTCGCATCCTCATCACCACCTGGGATCTCAGCCTCAGGTTGTACTGTAACTGGGAGCTGCGCAGGTCCAGGTAGCGATACTGCATGCGCAAGGCCTCTGATTTCTGGGGAGAAGAAACAAAACTCAAACTGCATGCCCAATGAAGCCACAGGACAAAAGGGGGAAAGCTGAAAAAGGATACTGCCCTGTTGCCACACATAACCCACAGCCTGCATGGAGAAAGAGCAGCCACTGAGAGGGTCTCCAATGCATGATCATTGGGTTTTTTTTGGAAGAAAAAACACAGACATCCATTCTGCACTAGGAGTTGCTTCAGCAAATCTCAATTTCAGCCCTCTTAATTCTGGCTCCACTGTGACAGACTGTAGTGATCCCCGGGGCTTTTAAGCACATGAGCAGTATCATACATGTATCTAAAGGAACAACCAAATGGTGATACACACTTATCACAGATAGGAAAATTAAACTACTGCAGATGGTGGGAATTGCCCAGGAGATGTAACATGGAAGGAACAGCACGTAGTTCTCCCAATTCTTACACCTATGTATCAGTCACACAGTCAGTGGCAGAGAAGAACTTAACAGCAATGCCTTTCATATACCACAGAAACTACAATAAGAACAACCTTTTATAAGACTGTGTATTCACTGAAGAAAATCCTCTGGCCAACTAGCTACTCACCCAGATAAGACTAAGCACACTTGCCTTAAAACACAGCACTGCATTGGCAGATTCTCTTTCACACTCAAGACAAGCTAGCACAGCCTGAATTTCTTGCACTTTTCCCTTTACCATCTGTTCTTAGTGTGGCATTTTAAAACTCTCTGCAGTGGAAACATTCAAGCCTTGTTTTCTGCGTAAGTCCAATTAGAAATATCACCTCCCCATTAACAATACACACACCCTTCTTCTAAAGCACAGCTGGGAAGAATCAGATGAAGCTCTCACAGATGTTTTGTCATCACCCTGGACAAATTCCTGATTTACTGAAAACCCACTGCCTTGGTACAAGGGAAGAATGCAGACACCTTGATGAAATCTTTGATTTCAAAGGGCAGCTTCTTGCAAAAGTTGAGAACCTCTGCAGTCTCCACCTTGACTTCAATGTCCCCTGTTGGCATTTTCTACAGAAAAAGGCAAGAAAAAGAACAGATTCAAAACTTAGGGTGATCAGCTGGGCAAAGGTATTTCAAAGCTGATCAGTGGAAACAGACCAAGCCCAATTCATATAATTAGCCTCTCTGCCTTTTAATACAGTATAACTCAGAACTTCTCTCAAGTAGAAATCTCTCCTAGATTTTCCTCCTGCTCAGAAAAAAATACAAACCAGCTCACTCAAAATTGTGTGTTCTCTTCTAGCAGCATATCCATCTCTACAAGAAATAACACTGCTTTTCCTTTACTTTCTGCTTCAGTGACATGCTGAGCACAGAGCAGCATTCCAACACAGATCCTGGTAGGGCACATGCACTTGGACAAAACAGCAGTTCCATTAGATTCAGTGAAATCACATAGAATGAATTTTAGAGTACATTTGCCTTCAATAAAACTCCAAAAAGGCGACTTGGGAGGAACTTCTCAGAATTTCCAGTTCTGAACACCAGTTCTCAGAACTAGTATTCTTTTCCTGAGGGAAAGCAGACAGCCCCCGCCGCTCAGCACTGTGCCACACTGAGATTCATTTCATCCTATGGAACTCTTTAGTTAGCAGGGGAAAGTATACACAAACTTCTTTCCAGGTCTGCCAATGATGCAGGATACTGACAATCCTGACAGGCATTTAGGGGAGCAACAAAACTGAAGTTCACATGGATTTTGTCAGCAAAACAACAGCTGATTACGATGAGAACTGAGAAATGCACTTGTAAAAGAAAAAACAGTATTAAATCTTTGTTTCTTATATAATGAGAAACAAATCTATTGAGAGAGGAAAAGGTCATCTCTTACTGCAAAAGACAGTGACAATACTTATTTTTAGAAAAAAAAAAAAGTGATCTCAACCACAATGTGAAAGGCTGAAAAGTTAGCTTTTCCCTGGTTCTCACTATCCTTTCAAAGAGTAGAATTTAATTCTGGGTGTCTGTAATGTGCTGTGGCTTTTCTTAAGCTATTTGTCACAGCAGTTACTCCTGCCTCGCAATCTCTGAGGATAGGCTGACATACAGCACAGAACAAAACTGTCTGTGGCAAAGCTATGACACAAATAAACGACCGTAACCCCACTGCCCAGTGTTCTTCTCCCCCAGAGGAATAAAAACCTTGAGAGACCCCAGCATCCTCACCAGATTCTCCTGCCCTGGGGGCCGAGAAGACACGATGCCAGTCACTCGCACAACAGATTCCACTGGGGCATTGGACAGGAGCTTCCTCACATGAGAATGTGCCTGCAAGGAGATCCCAATGTACCTCAAAAAACTCAAAAGCACCGTGCCTCATTTCTAAATGGTCCATTTGAATCTGGGACCAGTGCAAAACCAGAGGAAACAATACTAGCAGTCCTTTTGCAGCATCACAGGGCTCTCTGGTTAAGTATCGTGCTCTGCCCTCAATTTCTGCTGCGCAGAAGCTCATACTTAGGTAGCACTTACTTCATCCTGTGGAATGATGATCTGGGTGAGTCCCTGGAAATCCCTCAAAACCAGGAACAGGCCTTGTCTGATCCACAAAAAAAAAGAACACAAAAGGGAAAAGTTCTGTCAAAATCCAGTCATCTTTTGCTTTTTAAGTCAATGCATGTGGTGACAAGTTATTGTCTGTATCTTGTTACTAATATTTTAAAACACTTCAGAAGCATACACATCTGAATATGATCTGAACAACTGGACTCAGATTTTATCCAATCAAAATGTGCAAATAACCAGAAGATGCAGTATCTTAATTCGAACATGAAATCACAGAGAGCATGGCTTACAAACACAGGTAATTTCCAGAGATTTCCTGCTGAGAAACTTGATTCAGATAAACATATTTAGGTGAGCAACAAAAGTGAAGTTCACGTGGATTTTGTCAACAAAACAACAAAAAGAAAACTCACAACCATCTAACAGGCAGCAGAGTGCTACTCTCATAAGTTTGACATGAGCAACTCACGCTCCTAGACCAAGCATCACAAATATCAATCTCCTTAGCTGCAATAGTGGCTGCTGCTGTTATGCTTGAAGCTGTCCTATGAAACATACCCTGTGTTTAAAGGCAAAAGCCCAACAATCTCATTTCAATAATGACAACATCGCTCCTGGAACCCCACCCACTCAGAGATGCTCATGCTGGCCTCACACAACCAATGCCAACCACGACTGCAGAACTATACTGAATAAAAGGCAGTCCCTCTGCAGTATAAAATACAGAAGGCCATTTTTGATGGGAATTATTCTGCCCAAAACCATAGGACTTACCTCCTTTTTACTTGCACATATCCAAAAACACAACAATTAAGAGCTGCAATACAAACAAGCTTTTCAGTCTGCATTTGGCAAATGCACAGCTCCAATAGGAGAGTTTATTTAACACCACCTAAGGCAAGATGTTGGCACTGATATTTTATCCTTTGCTTACTAGCTTCTCCTAGCACATCCTTTTCAAGTAAAGCATGCATACTTTAAAGAAGCATCCTTAGATGTTACAGTAGAAAATATATTTTTTTTGTAAATTGAAAAACAACCTAAGAAATTCATAGAAAAGAAATTAAAAGCTGTCTGAACTGTTGTAAGTTTTACTTACAATTTACTTACAATTTACTTACAACTTTACTATTTACTTACTCCTACACACAAAGAAGGTAGCGATATTTAGCTGTTCACAGGGGTGCAAGGAGTATCAACTAATACTGATACCAAACTCTGGAATGTTAAATACTGCTGTGGCATGGTTTCCAACTGCTTAGTCACACATATTAGAAGGGGATAACATAAGATGTAAAAGGTAACTGAAAGCACACAGAAGTGTCAGAATGCAGGCCTAGAGAGTACATTGGATCTGCCAATGAAGCAGCTCTGTTCTCACAGTGGTTTGAGTTTACCTTTGGTACTGAATCCATCCACACAAGGTGACCTCCTGTCCTATATGAGCAGCACGCAGCTCTCCACAGGTGTTGGTCCGAGCAGCAAAGCTATTGACATCTGAAATTTAAAAAAAACACAGGAACTCAGGCTGTCTGCAGGGATGGGGCAGCTCTCTGGGCAGCCTTTGTCAGTGCCTAACAGCCCTTATTATAACTAACTTCTTCCTTATATTCAGTCCAGATCTCCCCTCTTTTAGTTTGAAGCCACTTCCCCTTGCCCCCTCTCACAGACCTTGCTGAAGAGTCTGCCCCCTTCCTTCTTACAGCCCCACTAAAGGCTAGAACAGAAAGAGGGCTTAGGAAGCCAACGTGGAAACCCGCTGGCAGCCAGCACACAGGTGTTAATTAACCCTCTGGTGTGGAACAGCCGACGGGTGCTGCTGCTCAACCACGCGCCCATAGCTAGATTCGAACTGACCCCCTCACAGCCCGCTCACCTGGAGCGCGGGGCACCCAGCCGCTGCTCAGCCGGGCCCGCTCGGTACTCAGCCGAGGTAACGCGCTACGTACCAAGCGCAGCATCCCAACAACGGGCACAGCTCAGCCGGCGGCTCACCCAGCCACCATAAGGCACCGCCCCCAAGATGGCGGGCGGGGCGGGGCGCGGCGGCGCGGGGGCCGACGGGACGGGCGTTCAAATGGCGGGCGGGCCGGCGGCGGGCTCCGCTATAGAGATGGAGGGCGCGATGCGGACGCTGCCCAGCAGCGGGCGGCCATCCGGCACCGGGCGGCTGTCCCGAGGTCCGCTGTTCGGGCGGAACTACGGGCTGAGCCCCGGCAGCCGCCTGCTGCCGCCGCGCTGTCAGGTAGGACCGTCCCTCGGAGGCCGCCGAGCCCCGAGGGGGAGCGATGCCATGAATGTTTGTCCTTCGTTTTTAGGAGAACGCGGATCCGCAGAAGACGGCGTTCCTCCTGCGGAAGCAGTGGACCCTGTACAGTGTCAGCCCTCTGTACAAGTTTTCCAAAGCCGACTTGAAGGACTACGCCCGCATGTTGGGTGTTTTCATCGCCGCCGAGAAGCAGAAGGGGCTGGCAGTGGATACGGACGGAGAGCTGGGGGTCAAGGTGGCCATGTCCGGTCTGCCCGAGCTGAGGGGCAGCGAGCAGGACCCCCCCCGCTGTGCTGGTGCAGGTGGGGCACTGGGGTGCTATTCACAACTCTGGGACCAGCTAAGGACAGAGCACAGGGAGTGGGGAGCAGCTGAGGGAATGGGAAGGGGCGGTGTGGAGAAGGGGAGCACAGGGGAGACCTCGTGGTGAGGTGAGGGTCGTCCTCTGCTCCTGTGATAGGACAAGAGGGAATGGCCTCAGGTTGCGCCTCTGGAGGTTCTGTTTGGGTATTAGGAAAAACTTCTTCTCGGGAGTGTTGAGGTGCTGGATGCCCAGGGAGTTGGGGGAGTTGCCTGTCCCTGGAAGTGTTCACCAACTGTGGGGATGTGGCCCTGAAGGATGTGGTCGTTGGGGATAAGTTGATGGTTGGACGGGATGATCATGGTGGCCTTCTTCAACTTCAGTGATTCTATGATTCTTTTCCCCTTTCCAGCTTTCCTTGAGATCATCACTTTCCCCAAAAAACTCAGAAGAGAAGCTGATATGGTCAGGATGGTTCTGCTGTGTGGCTGGAGATGATCTTTTAGAGGATTTGCCTGAGAACTTCACTTGTTTACCTTTGTTCCTTGTTAATGGGGCAGAAAGTTACACAGCCATTGTTGGAAGTTGGTTTCAGGAGACTTTTGACTGCTGTTTCCGTCGTTTAGCCATCAGCCCTCTCAATCTCACTTGGATGGCAGCTATGTGGACTGGATGCGAAGTGGACAAAAACACAGCTGCCATGGAACTCCTTTTCTCTGTTCCTCACCTGCCTCAGCCTCTGGATATTTTATATGCCATTCACCCTGAGGATGCAAAAGCTCTGTGGGACACAGTCCAAAAAACTCCAGGAGAGATCACTCAGGAAGAGGTGGATGTCTTTATGGAATGCCTTTATTCCCACTTCCACAGACACTTTAAGATCCACTTGTCAGCTACAAAACTGGTGAAAGTTTCTACGGGAATTGCCTCAGCACACTGTGATGGGATCATAAAAGTGAGTTCAATGATAATGCAGCATGTTATCCTAATACCAGACAAGTAGAATAGTTGTACTTTACTAGAAATGCCTTCCTTTTAAAAATGAAGGCTGCCTGTTTCTTACAAATAGCTTCCTACCAGAAGTCAGAGGGCTCCAACAAGAGCAGCATGGAGGCAGGAGTGTTTCTGTTCCATATCTTGGGTCAAAATCATTTTTAAAAAAAGAGTATTTTGCAGACAACTGCAAATCTGACTGCATTCATTTGTTTTAGTCATTTAAGGGTGTGCAAATGACCACTGATTTTTTTTTTTTTTAACAGTTTCTACAAAGCCAATACCTGATTGGAGTGCTGATGCTACTGACAGAATTAGCAATCTCTCAGATACAGTGAGACTCAACTCCGCATATCTTTGTGCATACAGAGGCTTACCAATGGAAGCTGATAAGCCTACTGAAAATTCATTCTTGCAGCATTTTTTCTTCTGATCTGTAACTCCTGTGTGCAACTACTGCATTTAAATCCATAGCCACAATTCAGTATGCAGAAAAGGCATTTAACCCTACAGTAGCTTGTTAAGTATCTGTCTGTTATAGTCACTCTATCCATTTGTCTGTATTTATCTGCTGGAGGCTAGGAAACAAAACTGCAAGTTCTTGGATGCGACTTACTGACAAGTTTTTCCATTATTGCTGCTGTCAGCAATTTTGGTTTTCACTTAACTGATAGCACCAGCTGTACAGTTATACTGTGGTACACTTGGGCTGCAGGCTAAATGTCAACGACTCCACTGTCAAGCATGCCTGAAAAACTGATACGTGTTTTAAGCTTCTAACTTCATTGTTAGCTAATTAAGACTGGCTAGTAAGGGTCGTAAAATGTTCATCTACTCCCTAGCTGAGCAAGGTGAAAAGCATGACAGTTCCCTTGTTTCCAGCTCTGGTCTCACAAAGTTAATGCGTGAGAAATTGAAATCAGCATGAACTAGAGATTTAATGTGCTTTGCCTGGTAGTTTATTGCCTTGGATGTAATTCTGTAGGCCAGAGTTCTGAGTTGGAGTTCTTGGTGCTGGAACTTTATATTTGATCTCATTCTATACCAGGTAACAGTTCAGAGCTAGTGCACAGAGGCCGACTACAAACTATGTGAGCCAAAAGGAAGTAGAAGTGCTATGACTTGTATAACAGTACCTCATAAATATTTTTTTAGCTTTTTTCCCTAATTGACTAGAGACAAACAGCATGTCTGACTCAATGTATACTTGTATTTTATTTTAATTTTTTTTACCTGACTAAACTGTTAAGCTTTGCTGCTCACAGTATTATTGAATGTGTAAAGCATAATTTCCTGTGAAATTCACTTGTAATAACTTTAGGCTTCAAGAACTTTGTACAAGTAATCAGTTAAATATGTTGTAACCTACCTGTAAGCAGGAAGGCAAGGTGTGAGTTGACCAAACCACAAGGTTAGAACACATCAACTCCCCCTTAAAGGAGCTGGCTTGTTCCTTCTTCACCCCAGCAAGGCTGAGATGAACCAGCTGTGTACACATGAATAACATGACACCATCACATGCCTAGCTCCTTATCTGTTACTGAAACTAGCCTCCTAGTACAGTTAGAAAAAGAACCATGTACTTGCTTTCAGTTTGTATTAAGCAGAGTTAGTTTTGCCTTGTGAAGGCTGTATTTGTTGAATTGAGGATGCTTACTGAGTTAAGCACAGCCACAGGTCGTGACAGCCCGGCAACTATTAGTTCTGTTGTTTTAGTTTCCTTTCAAAGACATCAAAGTTTGCTGTGTTGACTGAGAGGAATGCTTGGTAAGCAGACCTGTATTTGATTTTAAGTTAACTCATTAGTAATTTTCAAGATCTAATGTTCTGATCTGACAGTTTGCATAAGTAATTTCTAAATTCAATGTAGCTTTGAGAACCTAAAAGCATATGAACCTTGTGGGAATGCTCCAGCAGCATGCTTTGCTTTTAAGATTAGTACTTAGCTGAAGCCAGTGCTCTACTAATCGTGCTCAGTATCTACCATAGGCTGCCTGTGGACTAGTGCTGGAATAAAGAACTACTTCCCCTACCTCATCACATGCTTATTTGTGCTATGGCTCTCAGCATCTGCAGAGAAGACAGCAGAGGCAGATTTGACAAGATCACACAGCTACTTTCTTCCAGGAAAACAAAACTGGTTCTGAAGCACATGCTTCTAGGTAAGCGAAGGTAACACCAAATGCCAGCAGAGTTTTTAAGCCCCTTCTACTTGGACCTTTACCTGAAAAAGGTAGCATTCCTATTCACTATATCTAAACAAACTGTACAAAAACATAATCCACTGCTTTCAACCAAAGGAACAAACAAAGAATAGCATAGAAGAAATTTATTAAGATAGCACTATTTATACAAGTTACTCATGCTAGAAAAAAGCATAAATGATAAATGTAAACATTTGTTTACAGAATACTTGTTTTCCTTGTAAAGGTGCAAATGATCTTCATATGTAAACGTAAGAATACCAACCTTTAGGGGAAAAGGAACTTTTAAAAAAACTTTTAATGACCCATTTATTACTGTAGTGTAGCTTCTACTATATTCAAGCACATTAAAATGCTGTTACATAAATCAAACGATGGAGATCAGAACTCAAGATGTCAGCACTGCCTTCATCTCAAGAATTCACAGTCCTTTTAAAATCAGATTTAATAAGGTCCAAAGTTAAATCAGGTGCAACAGGTCTTCTCAGTACAGACAGTACTTACAGTACAGACAAACGTATCAGAACCTTTGAGTCCACAGTGCCTCCTTCCTCTCTCCCTACCCTGGGTACTTCTGCACTCACCAAAACATGACAGTAATTCACAGTGCCAGCAAACAGTCCCTCCCTTCCAAACTTCCACGATTTCAGACCTTTTCCTGCTCTAGCCAAGAACAGAGAAAGTGCATTTTAAACGAATCATCGAAAGGGAGTGCACCACCTCATCGTGGTCAGTGTTTTACAACAGGAGTTCTAGAGACACAGATGAGAGGCAGGAGGGCAGCTAAGGTGATGCTGGTCTAAGCATTTCACAGCAGGAGCTGACTCGACTGCGGGTCTGCCATTCTAACAAGAACCTGAGAGGTGAGTGCTGATCTAGGCTAGCCAGAATTAACGGATGATACCTGCCTACCAGCTTCAGAGAAGAAGTGGTTGCCTGCTGAATATGAGACTTATTTAAATAAGCAACAGCTAGTTGTTTCTAGGTTCATATACAGAGGAGGTGAGGGACAAAAGCTGAACTTTTGTACCATACACTGTACAGTAAAAAGGCATCATATGAAATCCTTTTCACTCTCACCTTCTTTTATGGCCTTTCACTGATTCAGTCGATAGATGAGAGTTCCAGTTCTACTTCTTGCCTCCAGCAAGACTGAAAAGACACTCAGGGTACCCATAGCTCTTCCATACTCTGAGACCCAACTACATACCACCAGGGTTGGAACCACAACAGCTTGCAGGACATAGCCCTGCCCTAACCATCAACTCATTAAAACTCAAATTGCACACGCACATATACATATATATAAAATACATATATATGCACACATATATATGTATATAAAAAGCTGGAATCAGCGCTGTGAGCAATACAAAGAAAAGACGTGATACAAATTAAATGAAAAAATAAATATACTCTGTGCACAGGAAAGCTTCTGTGCAAAGGTGGCACCTTGCAGATCAAGTACTTTTATCTTTTTTGAAGCTCTCTGTAAATAAGGCAAAAGCAATGTTTTCTCTATCACCTTCCTCTTTCACCCACCAACACAGCTGCCACATCCAATGCTCACAGCAGGAGGGAAAGGCAGGACACTCTCCTTGCCAGACTCCCATTGTAGCTTGTAGTCTGTGCATTGGCATTGTTTATGCTATGGTGAATTGTACAGTTTGGTTTATTCAAAATTGTAGACTAGTTAGAAAAAAAATATGGACATAAGCAACACTTCTACTTTTGTCCAGTGATTCCCTGGAGGCTGACAATGTGGTCTCCCATTGGGCACACTCTCACAGAAGTCATTTTAATAATTCCATAGAAAGAACCAACGGCAAAGAGTTACATCAGGTCTAGACCATCCATACGAGAGCCGCAAAGAGTCCAGTGTCAACAAGTCTCTTCAGTTGATCTAGGAATGGGAACCAGGGGGTCTCCCTCTCTCTTGGTGCTTACCATATATGGGATTCACAGTGTGTCATTTTGATAACACCCACTCCTCCTCCCAGCCGCCGGTAGTTCATCCCTCCGTACAACCTGCAAAGAGAAGGCTTCAGTAGGCACACTGCTCCAGCTCTCTCATTAAACCACCATGGGAATGATCAAATCGGCCTTTGTAAGCATGGTTACACCACTGTTAACACCTGCTTAAAGTGGGCTGTGACAAGTTAGAAGCAGAACAGCTGCCTTTTTACAGACTTCCAAGGTAAACGCTTGTATTTGCTCATGCCTTTCTCCCTCTAAACAGAAACTGCTTGTTTGGCCACGATGGTTTCCTGTTATTTCAGTAATCACTTGCTTTCTCCCTGCCTGGCTGTGGGAAAGATAAAAAAAAGAAAAAATTTCACAGGCTGTAGCTGACCTTGGGCTACATTTTAGATAGCACTGGATCAAGGACAGATTTGCTGTTTGCAAACCAACTAATTTTTATTTTATTTTATTTTTTTTTACATTTCTAATACCCTATACATTCAGCTGATCCAACCAAGATGTAACACATCCCAAGCACCATCTGCTTCTCTAAGATATGTTACTGAAATGGTGCCTGCGTTTCATATGGAAATCTGATCCCTACAGACTCCAGGATCCTACTCACTTCAGCTGCATAATTCTCTGTGCTGCTGAAGTCTGCTGGCAGAAACAGGAGAAGCAAGTTCTTCAAACAACTCTTACCAATGCAATCTGGGATTAAGTGATATCAGAAGAATTTCTTAGTCGAGCTACACAAAAAAAGCCCTTCATAGAACAAAAAGTTCAACAAAGGAAGACCAGATGATGATCAGCTGTTCTGAATTAAGTGGGGGGGACTCACAGCTAATACCTTGAACAACCTCCAAAAGTCCTGCAAATACTGGCCTAGACAGTAACTCCTAACTCAAAATATCTTGTTATTGTTACTGCCATTGAAAGTACCTGAAAACCATTCAGCTAAGAGAAAGTACATATTCCTCTCTGCTCAGGTGGGTTTTTCTCAGCAGTTCTACAAGCATTGACCATGGCTCAGCAGACAAGAGGAAGATCCCCCATTGCTCCTTATGACAGCTCGTCTCAGCAGAAAGGGATTAATCTACTAGTATTACTAAACCAAAAGGAATAAGGACATTAATTGCTTTCTATTCCCCTCTACTCCCTCCAGATTACTAAAGCAGCAAGACCGAAAGTTTAATTAGATTTGGGAATAAATATAATTGCTTTTAAGTGTACTTAAGACTAGAAAAGAAGAAATACAACTTCTCAGTATACATTTTAAATCAATTTTGTGTTTTGTCTTGTGAATCAGATGAAAATCTTCTAATTGCTGTCTTACAGACTTAAAGGGAGAAGAACATCACATGCTCAAAGCGTTCTGCCTCAGCTCCTCCAGAAAAACGTGGAGCTCAGAACCTCAGCTTGAAAGCCAAAAATAAGTAGGATGGTTTCTACACCATGACTAAGGGTTTCTATACTTTCTAAGGGTCAGCTCGTTTTTACCAAGAAGCAGAGCAGACTCAGCCCAAAATAAATACAAGCGGCAGATGTCTTTCAGCGCGGCTCACACTTTCAAGTTCAGAAGTGGCACTTAAAACAAATTATGTTTTGGAATAACATTGTCCTTGCTACCTGGCATGCTTGCTACGTTGCCTACTTTCTTTTGATCTCGAAAACCTACCTAGACTTGGTTTTCCAAGCAGAAACTTGCAAGAAAGTGTTTCTTAACTAGTTGTGGGTATGGGAGTGCAGTAGGTAAATAACACTGGCGTATTACCAGCCTCAACTTCCATTCATATTTAAACAGAAGTCATCTTGTCATGGAAGCTTTTGCAGTCAGGCAGCAGTGCTGTAGCAATACAAGCCCGCCACAAAGGTTAGTGAGCACCTTTTTGTATAATTACTGCTCAGTACTGGACCATGTTTCAAGCATAACAGGGAAGGCAGCCACACAAAGTTCCTGTGCCTTCCCAATTTTTCAAAATATGATCCTCATACAGCTTCATGCTAACCAGGAATTTACAGCATGAAATTTATGCTGGCTGCTGCACCAAGCTGTATGTCACGGTTCTAATTTGCTGGGACAGCTCCAGCTGGGTGACAGCAGCTACATCTGGAGATTGCTGTTTGACTGTTTCACAAACTTATCAGTTACCTCCATGTGTTAGCATCTGGATCAAACACCTCAATGGTCTTCAAGTACGTTGTGCCATCAAACCCTCCCACGGCCATTAGCTGTCCATTCACCACTGCAAGGCCAACCTGTAAAACAACCATCACAGCAGCTGCTTAGCTACTTGCTGAAAAGGCATGTCCTGAAAGCATACCCCGAAAATAACGATTGAAATAAATATTAATAAAAGGTTTAGCAGCTGTGTTTGGAGAAAGGCAAGTAGCAATGGAATTTTCTAGGGGGGAAAAAAGTACAAAACAGCCTAAAATGCATTTAACTAGGGCAGACTGGTATAAGATGCCACACAATCCAAGTGCTGGGTTTCAAATAACAAGACATGAAAAGCTAAATATGTATCCCAAAGCAGAGATATCACAGTAAAAGCACAAAGTTCCCAAGGTGACGATAAGAGCTAGAACTGCTTCAATGTTTGTAGATATATCAGAGCATAAGTCTTTATCAGCCAATGCATATCACGTCCTAGATGAGACTTCCTGACAAATTACAACATGTACTCCAGAACATCTAGCAACCTATAGCCTGCAATGACAGCTTAAACTGGAGGAGAACCATATGTAAGCCTACACAGCCTGCTCCTCCCAGGCTGTGGCTTGGAACATCTGTAAACAGCTTGGCCTCCAGCCTTTCTACTTTATCCTTCTGCAGAAGCACAAGAATCACAAAAACCTCAAACAGTTCTGTGGTTTAAGCAGATCACTTCCAGTGCAAACAAAGCAGTATAGCAGCAAAGATAAGAACACAATGTAATACAGTCCTCGTTTTGGTTTTGAAGTACTTAGCACAACTTAGGAGGGCTGCACATGCAGCTGCATCTGTTGAGGAACTTCTAAATAGTGCAAATATAGAAGGAATTCATGAAGAGTCAATGCTTAATTGGTAGCTGGAAAGGACAGTGTTGAACAGTGTACTAAATGTTTTGAGGAAGGAAATACATATTTTCTGCTCCCCAAACCAGTACTTACTCAAGTCATGATTCACACTCGCCTCAGCACACACTGAAATACTAACATGCAGACAGAATGAATCCACGCTTTGCTTTACTATGTAATTCAGCATCCAATGATAAATATTCATAACATTTGCATCTGCCTAAACATGATGACTACTTAAAACGCCACGTTAATCTTTTGTTCACATGCCTACAGAAAGCAGGAAGATTAGAAGTTGATGAAAACATGCTGTCATTCTCCATACTCACAGGATTTGTGGAAGAGAGGCAACATCTGAAAGCCCCAAAACCCCATTCCCACACACATCTAGGCAGCGAAAGCGCTTAGCTGTAAGTTAGTATCTACATACAATTGCTCAGTTTTCCAGCTCTTTTTTCTGTGCAGGTAGGATTGTTCACCTCCTAACTCACCCAAAGTGCAAGATGAGACCCAGGTGCTGATTTTAATACTGTTCTCTAATCCTGTCACACACCAAATAATACATATACTTCAGAAGAAGCTGAAGACCTCCTCAGTTTATCTCCTCAGTGTAAAGGACCGAAACTATTTTAAAAAGACCTTCAAACAACTGGATGCCCCGCCATGACACAACTACCACTTCATTCTTGAGTCTTACTAAAGAGCATAACCCCTGGGCAAACATTTACCTCTCTGTTTCTATTCTAAAAGACACAGATGAGGCAAGAGGGAAATCTCACTCAATGCTCTATCCCCTACTCTCACCATGTGATGACAGATAGCACAAGCGAGCAAACCAAGCCAAACTCACTCCACTCCGTCTGGATGTCATGGCCACGACAGGAGACCACTGGTTGGTTCGAGGGTTGTATCTCTCAGCACTACTAAGCTCCGTCGTATCATCTCTGCCTCCCACAGCATATATCATGTCTTGGTACACTGCACAGCCCAGGTGCTTCCTCCTCGTCCCCATGGGTGCAATCGTATGCCAGCGGTTCTCCTGAGGATTGTATCGTTCCACTGCAGAAGAAATGATATATTGTTGGCAACAGGGTTGGCAAGCAGTGGAGATCAGCACTTTTATATCAGCACCCAAAGCGTTGCTCAATCTGTAAAGATAGTGCAGTGTCCACACAAGAAAAACAGGATGTACTGGTTTGTTCTGTCACTCTCATGCTTTCCTTCCATAGAGAGCTTGCTTTTCTCTCCCATCTCCAATCCTATGCAGTCAATCGATCAGATAAAGCACCTTCACTCAAGAATGAGTTGGCTACAAAATTATCACCGTTACCATGCCAAATGCAGCATCTAATGGGAAAAACTATATGTGCACACACACAGAGGTAACGGTGGTTCACAGGCTCATATATTTACCATATATGAATTACCATATAGTAAAATCCCATCTGAAGGAGAAAACATGCAGCTAACCGGTCACCAAGATATTCAGCTGCCACCTGGAGACCTTAAAGACAACAAACAGGATCATGACAAATGCTGACAGCAATGAGGGACAACAAAAGGCATACCTGTATTGAGAGGAGAAGTTCCATCAGAGCCTCCCACTGCATAGAGAAAGCCCCCTAAAACAGCCACTGCAACTCCCAGGCGCCTGGTGCTCATGGAAGCCACTCGAGTCCATTTGTTTTCTTTGGGATCATACCTGGCAGAAGAATAAACATCAAAGCTCACAAAAATATCAACATTCTCACAAAGGGGGGTAAGAAAGGCTGATCTTATTCTCCCCAAAGAAAAATCCCCATGGGATTTGTTTGTTTACCTCCTCCCACGCTCCCTTTTCTTTTTCCTTTTAATTTTGTTTTTAAAAACTTAGGTACCTTTCCACAATGTTGAGGCAAGAGACACCATCCTGGCCACCCACTGCATAAAGGTAGCCCCCAAGAACTGCTACTCCAACACTGGTCCTGCAGGTGCTGGTGGGGGCCACATCACTGCTCCATTGATTCGTCTTTGGATCGTACCTAGAAAAACAGCGCACGTTGCTTATCTATGCTTCAGACTTTCCCAAGTTTGGAAACTACTGAAGCAGTAAAATTCACCCATCTTGAGTCTGAACTGCAACACAGCTATTTATAAGTTGAATAAATAATTCCAAAATTATGCAATGCATGCAGCACATGTAATTGCAGGGATGTTCAAACTGCAGTGCAGATGATTCAAACTGAAGATCAAAGGTTGAGGTCTGTAAGAAAGCACATTACCAGGGACTGGCTGACATGTGCTAACTTGCATCTGTGCAAAGAGCAGCAGTCAGTTACTCTGCTGGATATACTCTGCAGTTCATACAAGCCAGCACTGGACCTGCTCTTATTGATAAAGACAAGGGAACCAGACCAACTTGGAAACCCAGCGGTGAGGAACAACGGTGTGTAGCAGAAAAGTGCAAGGTGTGGGAGACATAAGATCACGATGTGAGAAGCTGGCAGTATGCAAAGAGACAGCGAAAAGAAGGGGAGGAATATTTGTATAGCTCGTTGGATTTGGTAAAGGGAAGAGATTTGGAGTGCATGAGTCATGTGGCTTGGAGGCAGGCAGATTGCAGTAAACTGCTCCCAGAAACATGAAGCTTGACACAGCTTGTTCGACTTGTGTCTTTCACAGGCCTAAAAGTGACCTATTTTCCTTCTTCTATGTGTTCGCAAGGTTCCTTAATTCTGTAGTTGCCACACTGCATGAAATTCCAGGATGCTTTCCCTCACTGTTGAAGTAATGCATACTGCAACCTCAACCTTCTCTAACACCACTAGAAACAAACCAGCAACTGCAAAGCTAACCAGGATCACACTCCTCCCACCAATTACAACCAGACCCACCTCTTCATGATTCTTCCTTTTACCAAAGGCTATATCTTGTTCCATTAAACCAAGAGTAAACAACACAAGCTGGATGTGTGAAGACCTAGTTTAGCAGTAAACCAGTACATATTGAAGTAGATAGCAAGTAATAAAAATTTCAGGTTTCCAGCAGGAAAGCAAACAAACAAAAAATAGCTGGCAAGATGAAGCTAGCACCCAAGTTTAAGAACTCAGAGTTAGTATTCAGCATGTTGGCCTTACGGACACCTACCTTTCTACACTGTTCAGGTAAGAAGAACCATCGTGGCCTCCCACTGCATACAGAAGATCATCCAGAACACTGACACCAACGCCACAGCGCCTTTTGCTCATGGAAGCCACCATCCTCCACTCATTGGTTTGAGGGTCATACCGTTCCACGCTGGAGATTGCATCCCCGCTACACCAGCCCCCCACTGTTGGGACCAAAGGCAAGAAATAGTGTCACAGTAACACACCAAGCACACATAGTGCACACGTGCCTGCTACAAATAACCCCTCTGCACTTCAGCAGCCTTAACCCAGTAGCTTCATCTCTCAGAGTTCATCGTTCTGAGGATTACAATTAGAAGGCAGAATTTGATTTTCAAGAGGATTAACCTACACTTGGAAGTAATGTCACCACCAAAGAGATGACACAAGCGAGGAAGTGCAAGCTGACTCAAATCTCCAAATATTAACACACAGGTCATTCGGAAAGATGGTGACAAGATTCTGTTTAAAAGAAAGCTACCACCAGCAAAACGGATTTGAATCTCCTGATTTGAGCCAGCAGGAGCTGTACACACCTGCAAAGAGCACCTCTCCACAGCGGATGGGTTTGCGTGGTCTAGTCCTCGGTCCTTGCATCAGCGGTCGCTCTTGGGGTAGCAGGAGATAGTTTTTGGCTTCATCCACTAAATCCCTGCACAAGACGGGAAAATATTAATTCCCAAAGTTCACTTGAAACTGGCCAAAGGAAAAAGCATGAATCAAAACTGGCGGGAAGAGCAGTCAGCAAGCGTTGGGCACTTCAGTTATTTGCAAATCACAAAAGTGCATGAATAGATGCAGTTAAAACATGCACTGTCACCAAAATCCTCATCAGTTTTTTTACAAGTCACTTAGACAGTGACAGCAATAGACCTGCATCAATTTTTGACTGGTGTTAGTATCAGATGCTACTAGCTGCAATGACTGATTAAAAAATGGTGATGAGATTTCTTGGGCTAACTGTATTAAAAAACAAAACAAAACAAAACCAGTTTGCTTCAAGTTAAAACTTAAGCATCAATGGTTTTACCTTGGAACAAAACAGGAATTGAAAAGCACATAAATACATAATACCCGCATGACCAATAGATGGAGATAGTATCTTTCTGATGAATATTTTCTCCTTGAGCTCTGGCCAGCTAGCACTGTCCATCCATTAATGACTTATCATCTGGTCTAATCCTAACATACCAAGCCCTTGAATAAAATAAAACAGAAAAAAAGTCCTCCTCCCCTCTATGAGTGTGGAATTCGGTCAGTATGAGTGCTTACTCAGGAGAAAAGCAGTTTAGCCTAACCCCTGAACTTTTCCACATTAGGCACAATACGGAAAAACAGATAATGCACAACTCCACAAGAATTAGAAAGGTGTGACTTATGTCACAAGAGAAGGAAGTGGCAGCTTCCTTCCAGTAGCAATGCAGGAAAGAGACTACATCTGGAATCTGTTCAGCTATCATGTTTTGCATACAGCAATTACTTTAAGTCATATTGAGATTCACAGAAAAAAAACCTTTAAAAGAATGGAATTCCTCTCGGGCATGCTACCAATATTATGCAAAGAAACAACATGTCGTCTTGCATTTCTTCTCCTTGTTGCAAAAGAACAAGTTGGGAGAGATATTACCTGTTCACTACTAACAAACAAGCAGTTTCAGAGAATAGATGTCAGTAAGGCTCCCTAATAGAATGAAATCCCATTCTGTAGTTCAGCAAGGAGATTTACCGGCATTCCTCATCGCTCTTAATAAGAGGATCAGAGCCCACTGTGCCCACAAGAAACTTGGGACTCAGCAGTGGCAGGCGAACGTGCTGGAGGACCTGCAACAGAGAACAGAACAGCACTGTGGATAAGCTGTAAATCCCCAAACAAAGAAATTGTGGAAAAAAAAAAAAAAAAACTGGCTAATAATGATAACAAGCACAAGCAGGTACAGACAGAGGGACCTGAAAAGACGTACAGTTTTAATGCCATTAATAAGAGCTAACTTGAGGACAGCAGCATTTCTTTCTTTGCTTTTAAACAATTTTCAGAAGCTTTCCTAAGTATAGTTGCATTAAATATCTGTATTTCCAAAGAAACACCAGGGTAGGCACTCACTTCTTTTGATCAAAAAGCCTGAGACTTCAGAGGCTTTCCAGCTGACAGCTTTGTCAGAATGGGTGCTTCTCTGTGAAATGGCTTGGCTCAGATGAAACACTGCATTTCAACAAAACCCTTCTGACAAGCTCCAGTATAAGATCCTGATGGCTGAGGCATAAATCAAACAGCAGAGCTTAAAGATGCACCTCAAATGAAGACGACCTTTTCCTTACCCACTGTTTTTTGCACAACACTCAAAGCAATCCAGGCCACCGTGCCTGGACAGACCACTGAAACAATCTAGTTTGGCAAGCCCTACCTGGAAACAAATCAATAAAGCCCCTATTAGAAGGTCTGGTGGCTGCATCTTTCAGCCTAGATGAAAGGAAAATGCCAACCTTCTAACACAGGAGGAAGACAAAACTATTGTGGAGCTGCATGCACTCAGAACCGTCACACTGCTGTTGCGTTGCCCTATCAGTCCTCATTGCTCTTCTCTTGGATAAAAGGAGCCTTGAATGTCACTGTGCTCATTATTACCTGTGGCAGCTGGGGTCTTCTTTCCTGAATGCTGTATTTCACCCAGGCCATCACTGCGTTGAACACCTGCTCTTCACTGCGAACATTTAACTCGTCGCTGGATATGATGTCTATGAGCTGATTGGCAGGAAGCAGCATGAACTCCTCGCTCTCCATTACCTGGTTAAATAGAAAACACAAATGAGGATAGTGGCCAAAGCACCAGAACCATTCCCACTTCTGTTTCTCGGTGCAACTCCAAAGGACAGGTGGCCCACTTGAAGTAGAGCCCAATGGACTGATCCAGCAAAGGCTCAGCTACCCATCACTATCTTGCCATCAACACATGACAGGCTGGCTGCAAAATGCAGACCCAAAAACACACCAAAGATACATAAAAGAGTTTCCATAAGATAGTTTTAAAGGGTTAAGTCACAGAACACATTAGTCAGGTTTCAGAACTCAGAAAGAATAAGACATGCCTTTACAATCAGCCTTCCTGCTTGCCCTGTGTAACTTATAAAGCAACACCAGAACAGAGAGGATCTATCCTCAAGCAATCCAAAGCAGAAAACAAATAAGAAGTCTCAGAGACAAGCTACCAAGAGCTGAATGCCTGTTCGTAGCAGAACAGAAAATATTTCTGGACAAAGAGATTTGATCGTCTCTCACTTGTTTTCAATATCTGCATAGAGCACGTGCAGGTCCAAAGGCTCTTAAGAGGGAATCAGAGCTTCTGAAGACCCTAAGGACTCATCCCTTGTGAAACTCAAGCTGCTGACAGTCTGCCAGCACGTGAATTCCTTCAGCACCCAAGATAGTGACCAGCTCCTCAGGAGGCCTCAGCTGCTCCCAGCACACAGCCCTGAACACACGTGCCATGCCGGGGCTGCAGGCTGCTAGCAAAGAGTTTTCCTTGACACCCAACAGTTCAGCTTCCCCACAAGCACTCCCAGCCCACAGCCAGTCATCTGAGCGGTTCACTGACATAAAACAACTGAATATCAGCTTGTCCATGTAATTTACAACCACGTTAGAACTACTTGACTTATGCGATGGTCTGCAGCATTAATGAAACAAGATCCTGTGCTCATAATAACTCTCTCATGTTAACAACAATTACACCTGCAGATAGAGTAAGCACCTGAGTCTATTGCTATGAAGTACAGCTTGTTCATCCCTACGTGGATTTTTTCCCCTTCACAAAAGGTATGAAAGAGCAAACAAAAATACAAAGGCTGCTCTTGTAGAGTCATTTCACATCTCACACACAAGATTCACTGGGGGTTCGAGGCAAGAAATTGAATTAAGGGGAATAAAAAACTTGGGAAAACATTCTACTAAGAAGCTGACGATGTAATGCAGCAATATATACATATAACAATTAGTAGAAGTAGAGGTTAGCACAGCAGAGGACACGAAACAATTCACTCTGCATTTGAAGTAACTGTATGGGCTGGCTTGATGCCTAGTGCTTAATATTTGACACTGCCATTCAGGAAATTCCCATCTCATGTTTCTCCTTGTCAGTTCAGAGGAACAGTGACCATATATAGGAGTACAAGTTTTCTACCAGTTACCTCCCTCCCTTTGGTAAGGGATCAACACTCTCTGGATGGAAAGTAATGGCAGTGCAGAACATGGGCCCAGCAAGGAGCACCATTAATGCTGGCTGCAGAGAAAGAGCAGAAAGAAAATGGGAGATCATTAGGGATGAAGAGCAGCTGAACTCTTGGATACTGAGTGGGACATCAAAAACTGTCCAGGCCAAACAGCAAGCTAATCTATGTGGTTTAGTTAACTCAATTATAATTTGCATCATCTTTAAAGAACAGAGTGTTTTCTAGAGACCAAAACTCCTGCCTGTGTGTGCTTTCACAGGGAAAACTAACACAGAAAGCCATCTCTGAGGGACTGTGAAAGAAAAGAACCCCACGGCAGGCGGCTCTCGACAGCCAGCTGCAAGCATTAACACCAAAACATTCAGATACAAAAGCCTTATGCTGTCAAGAAGTTATTTAGAGGCTTGTAAGCATGCCCTACTTGTGTAATAAGAAGAAGAACGCAGCTCTAACCATTAAAACCACCAAGTACTGAAAATAAACAACCATCTGGTTACCATCCTGCTCGCAAGGAAAAACTGCAGAGGAAAAGAAATGCAGAGCAAGCACACAGCACATGACACAGCTAAATGTAGGGCTTTGAATGCAGAGCTTTTGGGAAATCACCGAGTTCTAGAAAATAACAAGCTCTTAAGTAGCAAATTCTGTCTTCATGGCTAGGGAAGTCATATTTAATTGCAACTTTTGGAGTAAGCTGATGTAATGTGTCTACAGTCAGATATCAAGTATTGTCTTCAAGGTGTCCAACAGTCAAGTTCAACCATGTTTGCTCCTCCTCATAATTTTCTTAAGTACTACCTGACTGAAATTAATACAGTTCCAATCTGCTTCCTGCAGGGAAAACAAGAGTGTGCAGGCTGCAATCAATCACACACTGCCACTTCTCTGGGGAACCTGAATTAGCAACACTACTCCATCCTGGAGTTACCACTGCCTTTGGAAAGGATCCACCTATGGAGCAGGTGGAAAAAAGAAGTCTCTCTGCAGCAGGCTACCTGTCCCAGTGGATAGAAGAGCAGTTTCTAGAAATGGCAAGAGAAATCCCCCTGCCAGGGGAATACATCTTCATGCTGAGAGCACCCCTAGAAAGCAGCTGCTTCCAACACACTTAAATTCTTACCCTTCCAACAAGGGCTCAGGAAAGATACCACTTAAAAATGTTGGGCTCTCTTCAGCATCCAAGTGTAAGAATGAAGTAAAGACCCACTCTTCTCTGGGTATTGCTTGGGGAATCCTTTATTATGCTGATCCTTCCCTGAGCTGGCAGCTGGAACCCCCAAAAAAATTTCTATGGAGAATTTGAAATGCAAGAAAAGACTTGAGCGTACGAAGGTCAGACACAAAATACCACATGTGAATTCCATTCCACATCTAGCTATCCAGCTTCTGCTGAATAATAAATGCAAAACCCTGGTTCTGCTATAGCAAGGGAGTTGAAGACTTCACTTGACACAGCCATACGCTCACCCAGCTCCCTCATACTCCCAAGCCCTACAATCAGCAGATTTCTATTTCTCATATATTACCCTCACGTTAAGACTCTTCTCCCCTCCAATCATATATCTTGCAGCACACCCTAGTGCAGCTACATCAGCAGCAACATCAAACACCACCTATGTATGTGGCCCTGCCTTCCATGCAGCATTCAACACAGAACTCCAAGAGAGGAAATGCCACGGATCATACTTATGATGTACAGAACAACGGTGAAACACTGCCCTGCAGGTGCTCTCTTCCCCCTGCTGAGGCCAGTATCCACTTCTATCAGCAGAACTGAGGGCAGGGTTTGAGAAGAAGCACAAAGAAAGAGTAAATCACAGCTCTCTAAAACCACAGTTCCAGCAGAGGGGCTTCTTACCTCCTGGAAATTATGCTGGGTGAACTTGTCAGCAATCCTCAGCAGTTCACGGCACGAGTGAGTGTCAGCAAAAGCTCGGATGCCCAGGCAATTGGAAGGGTCCAACTGTCTCTTAAGGAACTCGCAGCAGGCCTCCTGGATCTCAGCCAGCTGGAGAAGGCAAGCAGCTGGCAACAAGGTCTGGACATTTCCCTCTTCCACAGTAATCTGAGAGGTGTAGGCAAAGTCAATGAGCAGTTCCATGGCCCTTTCGTCGATGTCTCTGATCACCACTTCTGTCTGCCGACTCTCTGCCAGCTCCCCAGTGAACATGGCTCGGAAGTACGGGCTGCAGGCGGACAGGATCACCCTGTGAGCATAGATCTTCTTGGCACCTACCACCAACACCACATCACACAACTCCCGGTGCTTCCGGAGAAGATTGATGACTTCCAGAGTCTGCCGAGGGTGCTTGTCGGAGATGTAAGGCATACGCGCAGGCTGCGGCACCCCTTCCGGCAGCTTGTTAGGATCTCCCAGTGTGCATCGGCTGGTCACATCCATTCCGGTCTCCCCTGGTCGAGTACTGGTACACCTGCAGCAGGGGAAGCCAAAAAGAAGATGGTCAACAACTCATCTATCACCAGCTGTCAGCCAAAGCTCGACGCTTCACACCAATCACACAGGCAAAAGCTGCCCAGAGCTCCACGTGAGAATGTGAATATAAATGTGATCACGTGCAAAAAGAACCAGTCTCAAACCAAAGTCTACTTAGAAATAAACAAATGCCAGCTTGCAACAGGCTTATATCTGTTTTTATATGCTTTTTATGACACGCCAGTGACGTCCAACCACATGAACACATCTATTAACTGAACCTAATGACTGCCTCACATGGTAGAGAAATATTATCACCATTTCACAGACTCAAAGCAAAGAAGGTTATCCAATTTGTCCACTGTCACTTGAGTTTTGTCAGTGCTGGAGACTGATTTCTGCTGCAAATAATTGCACTCACACAATTTAACCAAACTTCTCTATTCTTCTGCCTCCATATTCAATAGGGGTGTCCATTACTGATACCTGAACACACCCAGCTGTCCTGAGGATTTCAGTAGCTTCAGATGGCCTGCAAGATACCATGCAAGCAGGATTAAGAGACCAATCAATATTGGAAGTACCAGAAGTACTCACAAACACCATCCTACCAAAACAGGAAGAAAATAGTGCTCTGAACACACAAAATGACATCTCAGTTATCTGAATCTTTGCCTCATGCCATGTTTGCAATTACTGAAAAGGATGCAACAGTACCACTGACCTATCTGAAATTCAGACCTATCTGCTCTGAAAATAAAGCAAACAGAGGAAGCTATTGCCTCTTCCACTTAGAAGAAAAGAAAAGCACTTCACTGGGAGCAAATGAAACACACTGTGTGCAGAATCAGACTGCTGACAGCTATGAATAATCAGTGAGCATGCTGGCTGTCAGAGATAGATTGAGAGAGCCAATACATCCATTCCTAGCTCCTCTGGTACATTGGCATTTGGGAGTTATCACTACCTCACTCTGCTCATATTAAGAGCAAAAGAAGAGACAGCTTTGCCATTGCTCAGTGCCTTTTGCAGCATGCTTGGAGGAATTAAAAAAATAACTCACATCCACTCCTCTCATTATTATGTCAAGTGCATTTTCTAACCACAAGCAAACCAGCCTCTTTGCAGCAGTTCCAATTACTTGCATCCCAGACTGTTTTCCCATTCCCCCCACACTCTCTCCTTGATCATGGCATTCAGTTGCTTCAGACCATTACCTCTCCCTCCTATCTCTGTTACACAGATTCAGCTGGGTCTCCCTCTGCACTTTGCTCCTGTTCAGCCTCTGCACTTGAAATGCCTTGCTTGTTTGCTTTTTAAATACATATTTTTAATATATCCATTGCTGTTCTCCTTTCCTGACACCTCTGACAAATCCTTCTGCTGTTACACTGCCTCCCTCTCCCCTCCACCCACTCATGTCCCTCACAACCCAAATTCACTTTGTGGTGTTCCAAAGCTCTGCAAAGTTCCTTCCAAACAATGCAGGTAAACACTCCTCACAGCATCAAAAGTGAACTAAGTTCAATGGTACCCTCACAAAAATCTCAAGAAACCTTAGCTGGAGATTGATTTACCAAATTGGCTTTCTCTGGTAGTCCCAAGCAGCTAAAGGCAGACAGTAAGTAATTTAATCCCTCTACCAAGGGATGGAGGAAGGCAGTGACAAAGCCCCTCAGTATAGAGGCCAGCTCGCACTAAGCATGCCGCATGGATTTCATTGTGCTAAGGCCCAATTTGGGCAGCAGTTCCCCATTCCTTGCCAGGCTAGAATAGGCTTTTCTCCCCAAATCTGACTGCTGAGATCTTTAATTGAAAAGGAAGCTGGTTATTAAGAACCTCAGGCATTCCTGCACTGCTCTCATCCTCATTTATCTGAGCGTGCCTATTGTATCCAGCCTCCCTTCTTCAAGAAAAAAAAAGGGGGGGCTGGTTAATGATTAAAGAGAACTGAATGGCTGGAAGAAAAAAAAAAAAAAGAATAATAAGCAAATTAGCATTCCTGATTCATCCATAACTTACCTCTAGGTAATGCAGAAGCAAGTGATCAATGGGCTTGGGAATTTCCATACTGGATCAAGACAGGTGCCTGACGTTAAGCACCGTGGGCTGCTGCTGTGCACAGGCATGGAATTAAAAGGACACCGACAGCCTGTGTCTCCACAAGGATAATAATTTCACTGCATTATGCATATATATGCATAGAGAATGAAACGGTGACTCAGTAGCTTAGAGGTGCGAAAGACAGAAAGCAGCATTTGATTCTCACATGCTAGGCTAGCTGCCACCCCCCCAGCACATTCACAGCTAAGAGCTGCTCCCAAATACACGGGGTGATTAAAAAGAGCTGAGGATTGAGGAGGAAATGTGTGCGTGAGGATAAAAAATTGGTGCTCAGCTACGCAGATATGCTGGGATTAGCCTCCATCAAAATGCAGGGCTGAGGAAACCAGCAAACACAATGCGATTAAGAAAGGGCTGACAAAGGATGGGTTTCCGTAGCACACTGCTGAGAAGTACAAATGGAAACACAGGCAGTCTGCCACGCTAAGTCAGCGAGATATACAGGCAGTGCTACCTCCATTTTATTCATCCAGGCCACTTCCCAAAACTTCAGCTGTTAACACGGGCACCCGTGAGACTTTCACCCTTACAGCAACACAGCCGCAGTGAAAAAGTTCAAAATATACCCAAGAATAATATCTAACAAAAACACTCCCAGAAAACATCACTGAGCTCCTTAACTTCAAGGTCAGGGTGGCCTGTGTTTTTTTTTGGTTTCACATTATGTATGTTTGAGGATGAGATCACAAGAAAGCTTTAATATAATGCAGAAGAAAATAACTGATGGGACCTATGGCCCACAGAACAGAACATGAAACAGGCTGAAAGCATCAGCTGAAATCACTCATTGCTCTAATGGATTTCAGGAGCAAAGGATTTTAGTAGCAAATGGAGATGATAAATCAAACCAGTAGCGATTTCTGTCAATGCCTAGCTTGGAATTCTATGCATAAAGTCATACAGAATTACTAGGACAAAGCCCTTTCATTTAGTTGGTGATGTTGTGATAGACCAAGTAGATGGAAATGCTTTATTGCAGCCACTAAAACTCTGTGAATTAAAGATCTAATAATTAGTAAAAAATACCACTAACTCCTTTTCTTACAGAGACAGCAAGGCTTAGGAAAACACTCTCACAGAGGTAGCGTTGAGCAAACAAGCACATAAACCTGACTGCATTATTATTTTATATTGCTTAAAGTGAGAGCAACAGCGACCTGGTGCACAAGTCCCTATTTACACTTAGTTACACTTTCACTCACCAAACTCAGAGAACTCTCGGTTTCACCAGGAATGAGGATGCCAAAGCACAGGAAGCTCATTGCTGGAGTCTTCCTCCCAACCTTTTTGTAGCTTGTCTTGGGCAAGAGCCGTGCCCACGCTTGAGAGCTGCTCCAGTCCCCATGCATTGCTTGAGCTATGTACAAGCACATCACTGCCTGACCACCAACTTGCTGTGTTGGCTTCCTGGCTTAACTCCAGTCCTTCTGCATAGCTACAGACTTGCCTGATGATGACAGGACTCCTGGCTGACCCCCAGCCACCATATCTGCTCTGCCCTCCTTACTTTGGTGCTGTAGAAATACACCCTTCATCAGTAAGGACTCCTCTGCCTCGCTGATGCCTTCAGCAGAAGTTTTCTCTTGCTGCTCTCTGACAGGGAGAACAGCCTGACCCAACTATCACTTCATTACTAATGCAAAACAAATCCTGCTTGTGACGGAGAGAATGCTCTGATGTTCAATCTTGACAAGAATAGCTGCAGTGTTTTTCCCCATTCAAATCACCCTCCCCATCCTCTGAACACTGTACAAATTTTGTACCAACTCACCATGTCAACTAATGCATCTGGGCAGTAGGGTTAGCTCAGAAGTAATGACCACGTTAGCACGTCAAACAAGCCAGCCACCTCTGCACTGGCTTGCCATAGAGGGAAGGAAAACAAAAGGTAATGGAAGGTCTAATTGAAGAAGCATGAAGCTCCAGGGTCATCACAACAGAAAACCTCTGCTGCTTCAGCCTGGTGCTGCTGCTCACTGTTAGGTCTAGCCCAGCCTGAGTGGCAGACAGAACTCCTGCCATGGCAAACTGAAGGCACAAACCCACTGAACACCTAACAATCCCTGCATTGCCATTCTCTGCCTTGGAGATGGAAGAGAGCTGTCTGCTCCTTCACATGTCAGAAAAAAGGACACTTGCTGTAAGAGCCACAGGTTAACTCATTTCTGCCCCAAAACCACACTGCTCACCTTGCCGAAAAAAAAAAAAAAAAAAAAAAAAAACCTGATTAACATAACATGGCCCCAGAGATGCCCATATCACGGACCAAAGTTTACTCGTTAGCTTAATTGAAGCATCGTGCTGATGCTTACAGAATTACCCCTAGCAAAGTTTCCCAACTTTTAACACCCTGGAGTACAGACAGACTAGGCTGTTTGCATGAGTTCTCTCTACTTCGTTTGGAAAAAAAAAAAATAACCAGGCAACTCTGCTTCCACACAGCTTGCATGCAGAAATACAGCTGCTGTTAAGGTTTGCCTTGGCACATTTAACAGTGAACAGCAACCAGAGCAATTCTGTTTGCCTACATATCATCATGCTGATTTACTGGGACAATTCTTTTCCTGTCTATAACAGAACATTTCTGATATAGCCACAGCAAGCACTCCCCTGAATTAAACTTCAGCTGCATCTTCAGCTCATTAGAACTGAGGCAGCTGGCATCCATAATTAGAAGAGGAAATCTCCTTTTCATCTAAGGCCTTACCCCATCAGAGGAGCTAAACTCCTTTAGTCAAGAGAAAAGTAATGCCTCTCAGAAATCAAGTTCAATTTTATTCCCAGACTGTTTATTTCACGTTATCAGAACAAAAAAGTAATTAAATACTAGATTTTAAGATATAGTAAAAGCGAGGAGGGGCAGAAGAGAACGTAGAATTACAATAAATTGTCTTCCAAACTCTTCTCCTAACAGCACATCCACTTCCAGACATCTGGTCATGTAAATACTGAGAACTAAACACACAGAAGCAAGGACTAAAGATAAACGCTTACACTCTAACTCTCCTATCCAGATCTTTTTTTAAAAGCAGGAGAGGTTTCATGGTCTAAGAACTTTTGAAACCAACTCACCACAGGATTTATTTACAGGGGGTTAAAAGGAGACAAGTAGTTTTCATCTTACCTGCGCATTGGCTTTCCGTCCATGCACCACGAAGAGAAACCTTCACCCTACACTTCAGAACCCGATCCGAAGGAAGAAAAAGAAGAAAAACAGTGATGCTGTGAAACAAGAGCCTTCCTTCCTCTCTTCAGTCTGACTCTGCAACAGCGGAGCTGACCAAATCCACATCCTAATATGCCTTCAAGCTCTAATCCAGCTATAAAATTTGCAGCCTGGATTAACGATGTCTCAACTGCAGAGGCTAAAGCAGACGGAAATATAAACATCATTAAAAGTCATTTCACCACAGCTGCATAACAATTTGTTAGGCAAATGGAACACATGGATCAAAGGATGCTGTCTGTCTGCTTGCCTGCCTATCGGAACCCTTAGGATTGTTCGACCAAAGGAACAAAATGCCTTGAGTGATAGGAGTGGGGCTCTGCCTTGCTGTGCAGCAGGGACTGAAGGCAGGCTGGCAACTAAGGCACAGCACAGCGCTGACTTCAAGTTTAAAGAGGGTAGATTTAGGTTGGATATAAGGAAAAAGTCTTTTACAGGGAGGGCGGTGAGGCACTGGCACAGGTTGCCTAGTGGTGTGGTTGGTGCTCCATCCATGGAGACTGTCAAGGTGAGGCTGGATCAGGCCCTGGGCAGCCTGATGGAGCTGTGGTGTCCCTGTTCACTGCAGAGGAGTTGGACTAATGGCCTTTAAGGGTCCCTTCCGACTCTAAGGATTCTGTGACTTCTTGTCACAGGAGAGCATCCTGCATTCAAACTGACGTCCCCAGGCTTCCTGCATTCAGACACCCGGCGGGGAGCGGTGAAAGTATAGGAAAGGCGACGATGGGAGTGAGACCGAATAACTCTTGAAGAAAATAAAACAAAACGAAACAAAAGCCTTTCTCACACGATCGAAACACTCAGCTGGAGCCCCGCATCCCAAACCTATAGGGCAGAACTTTGGGCTGAAGTTGCAAAATGGCTCCAGCTGCTCCTGCCTACGTGATCCTGCCCCCTCCCCGCCAAGCCGAGCCCCGGGCACGCCGCGCTCCGACCCGCCGCCTCTCCCAGCCGCCTCCTCCTCCTGGCAGCGGGGCACGGCCCACCGCGGCCGAGCCATTCTCAGGCCTACGTATTTCAGTAAGGATCAAAGGAGGGCTCAGGCCGAGCTGCGCGGGACTCACCGCACGGCCGGCACCCGCACCGCGCTCGCTCTCTCACTGCCGCGGGACGCACCTTCACTCCGAGCCCGGCCCGCCACCGGCCCTCCTCCGCGGCAGGAAGCGGACGGCCCCGCGAACCGCCGACAGCCCCTTCCGGCCCGGCCCACGACCGCCCCGCGCCGTGCCGCGGCTCCGCCCCGCCGTGCCGGCCCCCTCGGGCCTGGGGCTGGCTGTGTAATAGTGGTGCTGATGCGTACGGCGAGCCCCGTCGTGATGACGTGGGGAATTTTTCAGTAAATCACATCATACGAGTCCAAGCACTGCCTTGTTCTCGCCCTACATCAAATCCCCTCGAGGCACCGTTGTCTCGTTCCGTTTTCCCAGCAAGCCCGCTCAATGCCACGCTCTTTGGCACGGCTGTCTATGAGGTTGTTTTGGAAACGAGTCCCGTTGTCTGGCTCGGTTCTTTCAGGGGTGCCGTGTCAGCACAAGACTCGCTTTTCAAGGCTGTTCCTGGCGGTGGCACGAGGCTCAGGACGTGTTTCCATCCGTCCCGTGGTTGCTTCCACCATTTTAAGCACGTGGACCTTGCCGTGGTGTGATTTAATCCACCAGGCCTCTCTGTATTTACATTTCAGCCATCGTCCTTCATACCTAAGAGGCTTTAATCACTTGTCTTGCCTGAAGGCAGCACATTTCACATGCGTAGAAAACCTGTGCAATAGCATCCATGGTCAAGTCCACCCCTCTATCCCAAGTCCATCAATATGTTGTATCTCATCCTTGAAGGTATGAGGTGTTACGTGCCCTCCAAGGTATAGATAATTCACCCTTATGTTGCCAGTGCAGATAAACCCAAGCCACTTCAATCCTGGCTGCCTGATCCACCTGCTGGTTGTTTTTGTTGTCCTTCAGTGGTATGACTTGTGGTTATGTGGACATTTACGTGACATGCTTTTACAACCCAGGCAGCAATATCTTTCCACAGTGCTGCAGCCCGGATGGGTTTGCCTCTACACTGCCAGCTGTTGATGTGGAGTCCTCAGTACAGGAGAGATGTGGACCTATTGGAGTGCATCCAAAGGAGAGCCACAAAAATGACCCAAGAGGTAGAACACCTCTCCTATGAGGACAGGCTGAGAGCTGGGGCTGTTCAGCATGGAGAGGAAAAGGCTCCAGGGAGACCTGAGAGCAGCCTGTCAGTATCTATAGGGGCTGTAAGAAAGATGGGACGGACTCTTTAGCAGGGTCTGCTGTGATGGGAGAAGGGGAAATGGTTTCAAAGTAAAAGAGGGGAGGTTTTGATTGGATATAAGAGGAAGATTTTCTAATAGGGGTGGTGAGGCACTAGCACAGGTTGCCTAGAAAAGTGATGGATGCCCCATCTCCAGAGACACCCAAGGTCAGACTGGACAGGGCTCTGAGCACCTGATGGAGCTGCAGGTGCAGGTCACCTCTAGCACAGCTAATGCCCTCAAGTACTGGATACCTCCCTCCATGGTAGCACACTTGACCAGGTGACATACAATATCTTTCTTGAAGGGATGCCTTTCCTTCATGTCTGACAAGAGTTGCCTCCATAGAGCGAAGGCTTGTGTCCATTTTCCAATCACTTTGTCAGTGCCCCCTTCCCTAGTAAGGGACTTGACTGCCCTCTAATTCCAGACTGCTGGTCCCATTTTCACAGCATCGGAGCAGGCAGGTGACTTGGAGAAAGAAATCTCTCCTGTGGGAGATGGGACAAGCAACTTAGGAAGAGTACAAAGATGTTGCTAAGATATGCAGAAAGGAAATTAGAACCACAAAAGCCCAGCTAGAACTTAATCTGGCAGCTGTTGTAAGAGATAAAAAAAAATATGTTTTTGTGAACACATTAACTATAAAAGGAGAGCCAAAGTGAGTCTCCATCCTTTATTAGATGTGGTGGGGATCATTACCACCAAGGATGAGGAAAAGGCTGAGGTACTCAATGCCTTTTTTGCTTCTGTCTCTAATAGTCGAGCCAGTTATTTTCAGCATACTCTACTCCCTGACCTAGAAGTCTGGGATGGGAAGAATAAATGCTCCATAATTCAGTAGGAAACAGCTAGAAACCTACTACTCAACCTGGACTATCACAGGCCCTTGATGCAGATGGCATCTACCTGAGAGCACTGAGGGAGCTGGCGGAGGTGATTGCCAGTATGCTTTCCATCATTTATCAGTAGTACTGGTCAAATGAGGAGGTCCCAGACAACTGGAGACTTGTCAGTATGATGCCCATCTACAAAAGGATTCAAAGAAGGATCTGGGGAACTACAGGTCTGTCAGCCTGACCTTGGTATTGAGGAAGGTTAAGGAGCAGGTCATCTTGAGTAATCACACAGCATGTGTGAGACAACCAGGAGATCAGGCTCAGCCAGCACAGGTTCATGAAAAGTAGGTTCCTTGACCAACCTCATCTCCTTCTATGACCAGGTGACCAGCCTGATGGATGAGGGAAAGGCTACTGATGCAGTCTACATGGACTTTAGCAAAGCCTTTGACACTGTCTCCCACAGCATTCTCCTAGAGAAGCTGGCAGCCCATGGCTTGGATGGGTACACTCTTTGCTGGGTAAAGAACTGCCTAGATGTTGGGACCCAGAGAGCAGCAGTGAATGGAGTTAAATCCAGCTGGCAACTGGTCAAGAGTGGTGGGGAACAGCCGAAGGAACAGGAATGTGTCAATCTGGAGAAGAGGAACTTCAGGGAGAACTTATTGCTCTCTCCAGCTGCCTGGGGAGGTGGTGGAGTCACCACCCCCGGAGGCACTCAAGAACCGTGGAGATGTGACACTGAGGGATGTGTTTAGTGTTGGGAATGGGTTGGGGTTGGCCCTGATGACCCGAGAGGTCTTTTCCAACCTTACTGACTCTGTGATTCTCTACAAGGTCACAGGCTAGAGCAATTTCTTGTGGAAGCATTCTGAAGCGCTGTGGTGCATAATGCTGAAGAGTCCCCAGATACAGGACCTGCAGGATGTCCACTGAGCATCAGTATCGCACATAGGCACCTGCCACAGAAGACCAATACGCTCCCGTAGAGAAGTGGCAGCTGCTCAAGGGAACCACAGACTCTCCACAGCACCAGGCAGTCCATCAGCATCAGATCCAGCCCCCAGTAAACATAGATCTGTGTACGTGCCATTTCCCATCCGCAGGCCCTTTACTGGACTCTCACCAGTAGCTCTATGTTTCTCTTGTACTGGTGAACCCCCAAGTGGACACAGCACTCCAGGTGTGGTTTCACCAGTTCTGGGAAGGATCGCCTCCCTTGAGCTGTTGTCAACATGTGCCTAAAGCAGCCCAGGTAACCAACAGTCTTCTTTGGGGCAAGAGTTCATTGTTGACTCATGGCCAACTTAGGGTCCACCAAAACCCCAAAGAATTTTTTGCCAGGCTGGGTGACCCCTGGGTTGTTCCTGCCACGTTCAGGGCTTTGCAGTTTTCCTTGCTGAACTTCACGAGGTTCCTGTCAGCTCCCTTCTCCAGTCTATCAAGGCTCCTCTGGATGGCAGCACAATCCTCTCATATACCAGCCACTCCTCCCAGTTTTCTGTTACCCACTGACTTGCTGAGGATATACTCTGCCCCATCATCCAGTGTGCAATGAAGATGTTGAACAGGACTGGAACCAGTTTGACTCCCTGGGGTATACTGTTAGTTACTGACATTCAAACAGATTTTATACCACTGATCACCACCCTGGCCTTTCAGAAAGTTTTCACTCCACTTCCCTGCTCATTCAGCCCCTACCAAAGCAGTCTGTGGATCAGTAGTGCTCTTTCATATCTGGCTACGCCTTGCAGAACTAAGATGATGCCCAAATCTGCTTCAAAACTAAGACTACAGCCAGCAGCACACAGCACCATATACCGGAGATGAGAAGCACCAGTATACATTCGCTGTCTTTATTCACAGGGAAGGGGAGATCAGTATTTAACCTAACAGCTATATTGTCCACTTAAGTCCTGAGAAGCCTCTCCAGATATGCAGGGCTTCAGTCCCTCTCACACATGGCTGACATGCTGTAGCTGGAGGAATTCAGCCAAGGTCAGCCCTTGATTATGGCAGAGCTGTCACGCCTTGGGAAATGTCTGCAGACAGTGACAGGGATGAAGGGCTGATGTCACAGTCCCTCATCACAAACCAAGAGGGAATGAGACTGCTCCAGCAGTGCTCGTTGGGATAGGCACTTTTTTCTTTTTCTTGTTCTGTTGGTTAAAATTAAAACTCACACCAGAGAGTAATGGAGCATCTAGTTTCTAAAGTCTTGAGCTTTTAACTATGCTTCCAGAGCAAAAACAATGCTCTGGAAGGAGTGAAAACCATGAGAGGGAGCAAGGCTACAGGTCCCAGCTCCAGGCTTTGTGGATGATTGAGATCTGTTATTTGCTGGGACAAGTTGGTCCCAGGAGTGCAGGTTCTTCCCTGGCTAGTATCCCATCACATCCCCTTCCCAGGCTCCCACCAAGCATCTGCCCCAGCTCATCTGCTCCACCTTGCTCTCCAGGCATCCCCAGCTGGATATTGCAGCCCCATCAGGCTTTCCCATGCTGCTGCTATTGCAGCACTACCAACTTAAAGGGAACTGATTCTCACCCTCAGCAAATGAGTTTACTTCCTAGACATGCGCAGGGATGACATGCAGTGGGGACACCACATCCTCCACCATCACACAAAGAAGGAGACACAAGCTGTAGGGACATCTGGCCATCCAGCTGGAGCCTGTGGACATGATGCATGGAGGCAGATATTAGGGAGCCCAGATATTGCTACATGCTGCTGGCACTCCCTCAGGCTGCTTAGCAGCTGCCACCCAACTACCACTTTCTTTTATGGCTGGTTCTTCATTAACCATATTTATAGACCCAACTGTCCCTACTCAACAGCAAAACTATTTCAAGTGGGGAATGACAGATGCAGATCTGACCTTCTGCAGTCTGACTTCCAAGTGTAGGGATGAGCCTGGGGCTTGGTTAGGAGTCCCACCACACACATGGCCATCAAGCTTCAGAGGGGCTGAAGGGACACACATCCTATCTTGGATATCTATCCAAGCCAGGCAGCAAGACTGCTAAAAACACAAGCTGCCACATTTATGACCAGC